ATACTAGAGAAATTCGAAAAAAAGACAGATTTTTTCAGTATTTTAAAAGAAAAAACGATACGCAATAATTGATAGGTGTAATTCGTTGGAGGATCGTTGTAGTGGATGTAGCATTTGAATAGCTTACGACCGTCTCGTACCGCTAGTTGAAGTTATTTCTAGGAGAGCAACTGCAATTGACGCAACATGCTCGAACAAGTTGAACAATTGTGTGTAAATAATAACCTATCTCCCGCGTTCCTTGAAGTTCGGCATTCGAAGTTCCGTGAAATAACCTCTATTTTATTATGGCTGAGTTCTCTCGCTCCGTTTTACTTATTAACAAATTTATCAACATGAGCCTGCTATACAAGCCCAGTGTGTCTAGGCTCGTAGGAATTCGCAGGTAATGTTTCAAACCATTGTAGAGCATCATCGACTACTTTCTACGTATGCAACCGCTAACAGGTCCTATAATCAAATTGCAATGAAATCAACGTTCACAAATTTGCCTACATGGCTTATAAAAATGTTTAAATCATACCCGCCGCTATAGGTGTAATATGCTAAGCGGCGTAATGATGAGTGACTCGTCACAAGCAACAAATGTCTTCGTTTTACTTGCTACCCTATGTTTAGAACAATTCCTTAGTTGAATGAACTTGTTGGGAGATGTTTTCAGCTGAAAACGGCAGCCAATTGGTTCGAAGCTTTCGATTAAAATGTGTTTGTAAAAAAAAAAAACAGGGAAAATTCACTGATTCGTGATTGCAACACTTCCACTAACCCTACGTCTGGTATATTCGCTTTAGAAGCGAATTTAACCGAAAGCGCAGATACGTTCTTTCTGCCTGAGCATGTAGCCATTTTGACCGGGCTCTTCATGACATAATGGAGGAGCATGATCGCTAAAAAATTATATACGTTTCTAACGAGTCCTCCTGCCTCAGCCCAGTTAGCTATTTTTTACTGTGAAAATTCAGAGCTGCGACCGCCTCGCATTGCTTCTTGTTCTCCCAGATCGTATTGAGCAGGGAAATTAGTTAAATCTCACTCATAGGCCGATTTGAACAGTGGTACGGCAGTATTGGCGGAGGTCGTTATTCCGATTTTTAAGTTAAACCATCGCCTATCGTTATTCTAATTTTTAAATCCGTGAAATTCCGGAGCGTTGCTTATTTTTTACTCGCAGTCAATGCCAATCAGTCGCTGGCTAGAGGGAGAGTCTAGTTAAAATAGAGGTTTCGTTACAATGTAATCGTGTCCGCCCGCGTGGGCTCAAGGCATGCGATTTGTGCGCGTGTGAACGAAGACCTGCGATTCACGCCTAGGTTAGCAACCCAGCTAGGTGGCTGGTTAGCTAGCTGGCTGGCTGGCAGGCAGAGAAGCAGGCCCGGGTAAAACGAATACAATCAAAACGGTGATGTACGGTTTTTGAACAAGGTGCTCTTAATCGTAAAATGATTCGGTTGAATGTAAATTGTATTTAGACAAGATAAATATGAAAAAAGGAACGGCGGGTTCAGGGTCCAATGTTTGATCTCTACGAATGCTCTAGCGCAGCTTATGTGGTAAAGTCTTCAGAAGTATATGAATAGAAGTGCAGCCAGGTAAATTCCGTATTTTGTATAATTCTCGTGTATTGCTTTGGCCGACCATGTTCCTTATCGTTGCTACATTATTAGTGATTTTATTGGACACTAGGGAAAACCATGGGCAAGTAAAACTGAATACACCGATAACCTGTTATAGTCACAGCCTGAATGCGCCCCTTTAAATACAAACAAGTCGAACCAAAAATATCCAGTATTCTTCGTTAATTTCATGATTATTTTTCGTGCGTTTTCATTGTAAACAAATGTTTTTTCGCATACAAATGTACTATCAATATCTATTGATTCGATCTACGCCAAGTTCACATAAGATTATTAAGCAAAGTAACACATTCCCACGAACTATTTCTCTCTAGATCGAACACACGTTATATTTGATACCAAGCGCCCGAAAAGCCATCATCGTTTGCCTATTAGCGATGCACATTCTACCCACATGTACACTCGGAATGTACTTAACAGACTGCTAACAACAAAACCTCAGTCTTCGTGCTTACATCTTGGATTGAGGGTGTTCTCACCTGAGAGGTGCTGATCTCCCTAGCGGATGAGTCGGACTAACCCTCCGCGAACGAGCCGTCGCCCGCGACTCATAGTTTGCCGGCAGTTTCCAGCCGCTAACCAACAAGGCGACCGTATGTCAAGAAGGTGAGCGTGTGCTCGTGGTATCCTACCTTTCGCAAATCGTCAACCTATATTTATTTAGGGCATCAGAAGATGGAGGAGAAACCGCGGGAGAACAGATAAACATCAGTAATCCAAAACCAAATAAACCTGTGCGGCAGGACGCTCAACACATGTGGGTCCAAATGTAGTAACTGCTTATGTGGCTAAGGAAGGAAAGGAAGCAAAGCAGTACGCGCGAATGGAATGGAAACAAATGGATTGCAACCATCATCGCATTGAGTTGAATAGACGACGGGCGCCTCTTAGCATTTACACATCTTTGTAGAGACACATTGACCAGCCCAGGTACCCTGGCATGGATAGACACGTAACAAAACGATGCCAATAGACTCGTGTTCTATAGGATACTATATATAATCTAAATCATATATTGGATGTACCACAAACGCAACAAGGCGAAGAGGGAAGTGGCAGGCGAACGAAGAGCGTGCGAAACCGAAGTTTGGATGCTGGTAACCAATGTTCAGAACGGTAGATACGAGTTTTACATTGTGTATGTGCGTGTGTCTGTACGCTCTGAAGCCTATTGTTAGCCTGTCAAGTCCTGTTTACCGACTGCGTAGAAATCTTACTCAACGATTTATAAGCCGGACGATTGAAAGCACGTTTTGTCATTTATATGCATTCATTAGAAGCATTGATAATTGTTTATTTGTCCCGAATTCGGGCGAAACGTCGCCACGCCTTTCTCATAACCCGGATCGATAGGAAGTCTAATACTGGCCTCAGGTCCTATATTCGTCACATATAAATCTAGGTAATTTTTACTGTACTTGTACCTGAAAGAGAGCGATAGGTGGCATGGCGTATCTGGCTGTAAATTTTCTCAAATAAGGCGTCAATAACAAGATCAGGTATTGTTAAATTATGAGTACCGGAAATAAGAAGCCCTGCGCAATATATAAACAATAAAGGGTGCATATCTGAGACATGCCAAAAGACGCTGCTCTATCTTATAGCGTTGAAGGGATACTTAACCCTTTCGCCCCCCTAATAATTCCGAGCGACCTTGTTGTATCTATATCTATCGTATTTACGAACTTCACGCATCGTCTAGATTGTTTTGGTCAAGTTATCTGGCAGAACTGTTTTTGAAAGATCTGATTGGCAAGCAACTCTGAGTAGCCTGAGTAGATGTTTGTCTTCAGTGAATTTACTCACAGCAATTCAGCTTATTCTGGCGACCAGGTTGAAGCGATTATCTTGTTATCGTATGTTCCCCTTTAGCAGGTAGCACAAAGCAAGTTTACAGTGTCCTTTAACAACCCTCCGTACAGGACGTTTCACCTTAACTATTCACTGATATCATGTATTTCCGCTAGTCATTGCATCTTTTTCAATTAGCTTTTTTCGACTACCTTCCCCCAGTTTGTTCGCTTTCCCCACACAAACACACAATAATCGCTTTCTATCTTACCTATCTTTTGGAAACAAATTTTGCCATCTTCATCAGAAAATCTTCAAATAATAAGAAAAAAACTATTGATCAGGTTAGTTTTCAAATAGACATATGCTCATATATATGCTAAGGCAAACTCGCATAGGCTATTTCAATTTCAAGCATCTATCAATGGGTGTTGAGCGATCAGCATTCGTGTCTCGACCACGACCATTTGCACTGTCATCTTGTCCCAGTTGTAAATCTCCGCTCGGTCTGTTTCACTCAGGAGACTACTTCAGAGTACAAAGCCAAGTAAAGCATTGCCAGGATTCCTTTCGAGTCCCGATCTCTCTCAAAGGTAGGGATTGAGCCATCTACTGGGTTGTTAGGAGGTTTTCAATAGGAAGAGAAAAGAAGTCGGACGGCTGTTGAAAACGACTGATGTGGGTTACGGACTGGAGAATTATCCAGGTTATGTCACACGGGCAGCGGAAGAGTGATGAGATATTCTGAGCTAGTCGTCTCTATAGTCGTTGTGTCTTGCCAAGTGGGGGGAGTTTTTGCGGTAACAATTAAGCTCTTCTGTAGGCGGACCAGTAATGCGAAAATATCCCTTGCTACAACGACCTGCCATTTCCTGACACGGGACAAAACTTGCGGGTGCCACGAAACGAAAACACGAACGATTTAAATGGGTAGGTAGATGTGTCTTTGAAGAATGATACGAACAATAGAGCAAAAAGGGCAAGTGCGTTAAATAAAAGTCTCCTTTAATTCTGCTGGGGCTTCAGAAGTTTATTTTAGGCGGGTATTTAAAATAAAGCACAAAATAAAATTGAGAGTATATTGCGTGGTCACACAAGCACAGGTAAAGATTTACTAAGAGAAGTAATTATACTGAAAGGAAAAATAAAGGGTTCTTTTTGATCAGTCGTATTCAAAGGCTGCTCCCGTTAGAACTGAATTCATCAAGGTTTAACACCGCAAGTCCTAATGAAACAGTGCAGAAGTAGTGTTCGCAGTTCCCGTTAAGCCATCAGGATCGACGTGCTTACGCGTCAGGTTATTACGTATAGCCGTCTAGAAGCTTTGCGAGTTAGTTCTTCTTATTGAAAGGCCCTTTAAGTTGTAAATTGCAAACATATGGCCCTTGGTATTTAAGCGAACTGATGCCGATTAGGTATTACGGATTTTAAGAGTAATATTGCGTAGAACAATTCGATTTCGTTCTTACTGCGAACGAACTATATACCAGGTACTGATCTAAATATTTTCGTGTGATCCGAGGATGCATTTACTCTGATCTGTTGAATAAAAGAAGAACACTTTAAATACTTTAACATAATATTAGTTTTTATTGTATTCAATCCTCAGTCCCTTTTCTTGAATTTTTTTATTCCGGTCTTTTACCTTTCTTTGGTGTTTATCATGTATATATATGCATATGTGTATACAATAATCTTCCTAGTTATACATACAAACTGTCAAACGAAATAGACGGTTAGTAATTATTGTGGTTTTTACTTCGAATCGGTTACGCTCTGTTGCCATAGAAGGAGTCTAAACGTGGTTGATATTAGTTTACGCGGCTATGGAAAAAATTGCACTTCGTCGCGGGAATTCAAAATCGGCCAGTTGCACGGCGGCTCAAGGCTCTCATGAAGCGTCCTTGCAATCGCCGTTTGGGAAACGCGTCGCTTTCGGAAACACGCTAGATTCTGACAGTAGTTCAAGCAAACAATGACCTATACAGTGGCCTAGTGCAAATGCACGAATTTATTTAGAATTAGTTTCTTCCTTCTGGGCACGTTTTTCTGTTGACGCGTAATTCCCCGCTTGTTTTCCGAAAGCTTTCGCACACTGGACTGCTTGACCGTTTTCTAAATTTTCATGTGACGAAACTATAGGTAACTATACTGGCCTTCCTCTCTCCGCCGTTGAGAGCCTTGACCGCGGGGCCAATCAGCCTCACTGGTGCATATGGTGCTTCCATTTGGTTCGGTTCGCAAGTTTGTTTCAGCAAATATCCGCTTTTGTGGTAACGGGGGTCCTGTTGCATGCTGCTGCCATATCCAACACTACTCGTGCTTCGTCTTCTATGATTCTGCACAAATCTTGGCGTGGAACTATGGCAAACAACTCGATCCTCTGGATCCCCTGATGAGGTCACATCCAAAGATGGCAGCGCCGTCTTCGGTTCCGCTGCGTGCCAGTTAGGGTCTGTTGTGCGTGGGTAGTGAAACCATCGGCGCACAATTGATCTGTTCGATAACTCGTCTGTAAATTGCTTCCCTTCATCAATTAATTCGTTGTCGGTGTCGTTGACTTTTGAATGATTTGAGGTTTACACGTAAATTATCCAATTTCCAAATTCGCTTCAAATTTCGAATCTCACATTCACTTCATCGACTCGTGTTTAGCTATGTCCTTGTAACGGTTCTACACGGTGTAAATTGTACTTCAGCCATTATTTTTTCTTTACCTCAAAGCTTCAACGATTTTCTTGATCACACTCACAGTAGCTTGTAAGAAGACCATTTTCGTCCGTAGAAAATGATCCAACACAAAACCGTTGAAACGGATTCATCGCGATTGTATTAGAACGGAAGTTTTCCTTCGAAATGGCTGAAGAGATGTGCCGGTAGAAGTTCATTTGTTACGTATGTGGTTGGCTACATGCGATATTATGGCATGACAATAATGCGAAAGGTGAAAAGTGGGACAGATTACATGTGCGGTGGTGGGGGCATGTGGCGCAGATGATGGGGGCCTAACGGCCCTAAGGGTCCGGCCATTACCGGTGGTGGAATTCCGTCCGGAGAGGTAATGGAAAGCGAATTGAAATTCATTCGCCGACTGGCCGGAACGCCCAGGTTTTCCCAATTAATCCATGACAGCCGTGCCGTCAAATCTGTAGTAGAACAGAACAAAATGCAGAAAATAGTTAATTACACAGCTGTTAGCTAAACTCGACACTTTCTACACTAAATCTACGGAGCGTGAATAATGCCGGCTAGAATTTCCCTAGTTTCTGTCTTTGCTGTACAAATCTATACATTTACTAAAATAAGGAGGCTTGACACATTTTTTTAGAAGTTAAGTGATATTGTGACTGAAGCCACGGAAATTTTATATCTAATCAGAAAGTTGAGGGTATATGAAGTATGTTTTTGGTAATACCGCATACGATGTCATGTTTTTTCTTTTTATATCTTTTTAATTGACTGGAATATTTGGGACTAAAGTCTCAAATGGCAGCTATCAATGTACTTTTTGGTGACGAAAATATTACGTTGTTTAAGATCCGTATATAAGCTCGTTAGCTTGTTTCTTACATATAGATAAGCCGATACCTTGCCATACGCTAATCAGGCAAAACTTTTTTTTTACGTGATATAAAGTGTACGACCAAACTTATCGATTGATCAGCACGGTATATAAACCGAGGTCTGAGGCATGACACCCTTATCACTTTTGCTAGCACATGTATTTGCGCATTGCCCATCTGTAGATAGAATCCAATCTGTAAATAGAACTACTGATCGCAGTCGGATTTCAACCAATACCTGATATCTAAGATTCTTTAAATCAATATGATTTCTTTTGAGTATATACCATGAGTGAACACAACCATTTACCACACGTCTGCACTATCCATTTAGCTCAGCGAAATATAAATAGCAGTTTTCGTCAATGGTTCCCTTCGTTCGTCGACAACGGTTTGAGGTTCTTTTCTTATCTATCTGATCGCCATGATGCAGTCCGCCCGTTATCCAATCATAAGACATGATACACTTCGACAGTGGCGACATGACAAGCACCGAATCGGGCCGAGAGGACCGCTGGATATCGGCACAACCGATCTGGCGGCGGGAAACCTCAAATACCTACAGTCAGGGCAGGAAAACTCACCCTGGCAAAACTCTTAACTTAGTAGTTTCCCTCGTCTCAGGCAACTTTCCCCAGCAGGCAGGTTTCTGTTTCGGGGACAGCCGACCCACTGCGACAGCCGACCCACTGCGACAGCTTCGCTGGCCGAGTGGAATACAACGGCACGTGACCATGAGCCTGCGGTTGATAGAATTCAGGTTGGCAAGGGCCTTCAGCTTGTGTGAGGTGCCAGCTGCAGGTCAGTCCGGCTGGGCGCACGATACGCCGGCTGCTCTACAGGAGACGTGTACCGAACTCGGGTGGTGAAAGCGAAGCACTTAGACGAGGGTATAGCAAGGCAATAACGCTTGACAAATGCAGCATAGGGAGAGTTGAGGCAGACCCGCAAGTTTGGCTCTGCTAGTGACGGCCACCGCATGATCGTGGGTGTAATGGGAAAACAAGACGGCAGTTTGCGCTGGCATCGAACAAAGAAATAGCACACGATGTACTTGAATATTATGTCTAATGCGATGAAAAGCACAATATTTCTGACAACTTCAAGTGATTTTGATGTTGATCACTACGAACGGCGGCTCATAGCCTGGCCGCTATATCGAATGTTTTGGAAAATATATTTTTTTCGTTTTTTTTTTTTGTGATTTTTACCTTGTTGCCTTATATCATCCTATAAAAAGTTCTTTTTATAGAATACAGTCAGCGCATTGCTTTATCGTCTGCTGAGGTTGCCATCTTTCAAAGTATTTATTCAGACCATTGCAAGTGCCATTTTTTTAAAGGCCTACCATTACAGGTCGGCAGGAAGTAATATATGTTCCACGGTGCGACACGTACCAGCTGCTCTAAAAGTCGTTTTCAACTTTTCTGTCATGCTTATTTAGCTTGCAGATAAAATCATGTAACAATCCAAGATGGGATTTATATGGAAAACAGAGTCATATGAATGCATTTTTCAGATAAGAGCCACGGTAGAGTTAGGAGACTAAAACAGATCCTAAGCGTCATAGTCTCCCTTACCAAACAAGACAAAACCCAAAATTTCAGCTTTATATAGCCCCAGCCAGAAGTAGTATGACTTTGAATACATACACAGAAAAGTCGAGTTCAAAGCATCAGCTTCCACGCGCAAACTTCCTAGTAAACAATTGAATACCAGCGAAAGAGAGCTGCGGATCAAAGCAGGCATGTTTTGCAGCAATAGATGTTTATAGCAATTATTCAATAGTTTCAAAATTCTACTAAACAACAACCTCTTCTCCGAAATGTTTTCCTCGTGTATTTAAACGTAAATTGGAAAATTGCTCACTCCCAGTCATTTTTTCTCCTTCCTAAAAATGTACCTCTCTGTTCACTCTAATCGAAACAGGTGAAAAATACAGCCTATCCGTGTATACAAGGAAATAGGTCTACATGTCAGATTAACCAAATCGACGTATACTTACCACTGGTATTCCATTCGTGTGAATGCTCTGCGCGAATTTCGCCTCGAAGACATTTCTCGATATGTGTGAGCGGATCGTAAGGGGACATAAGCACCTCTTTGAGAAGCGCGATATATGCAATTGCCAGACGTAGCGTGTCGATCTTGGAGAGACGCTTCTCGAACGGGAATGTAGGCACATGACAGCGGAGCTCTTCGAAGGCACTAGAATCGTGATGTTTCCGCGGTTAAGTTAAGATAATTCCCAAACTTTATAAAGATGATCCCCTTTAAGCTTATGATAACAGGCCATCATAATCGTAATAATGTTTTTGGCAAATCTAAGAAAAAGATGACCCAAAAACAAATATAAGGATAACGGCTAAAAGCTTCATTGCAAATCATCTAAGGAAGTTCAGTTGAAACTTGTTCAGTCGGTAAGTTTGCCAGCAGGTAGACCTGCCTAAAATTGAACTTCCTCACTGACAAACCAAATAAATGACCAGCCTATCTAATACGTACGTACCTGACGGAAAAGGCCTAATTGTCGTTTCCACTTACCTGTTGATGCTCATCATGCGTTTCCTTTCCCGAATATTTGCAGCCCTTCTTTGAACCTTATAAGGTCCACTAGAAGGATATTCATGCGGGTAGAAGCCTTGCGACAGAGGACTCGAGCCCGTGGGGCCAAGGCCGCATGGCCCCGAACCCAGAGAACCCTGTCCAGAGACGCTGCCGCCGCACACCCTACCCGGGGATACCTGGTTATATTCACACAGAAAAGAGAACGCAAGCAGGCATACTGTGATACGTCTTGTTTTATGCTCGAAACGCAACTTATCAAATGCACATGCAACTTAATGACTCGTATAAACATGATGTTTCGAGTCATACTGAAGTAACTTCAGAATAACTCAACAGCGAACAAAGTAATCCCATAAGCTGAAAACTGTGACACTTTAACTGTTGTAATTTGTTTCCAATGTTCGAGGTTGTCTGGAGGTTATAGATAATAGTAGCAAAAAGTAGCGCTCCAAAATTTGTCGGCCGTTAAGCGATCTGCTCAGAATCGTCCAATATGGGCTTAAGTGACATATGCACACAAATCAAGTTGGAAAAACACACACAAACAAACAAACAAGCATACTATCATCTAGACACTATATAAACAAGTGTTCATCTCAGTTTTACGGACAACGTTTTACGGGAGCTATGGGCATTTTTAAGAAAAACGCAATATGCCTCGTTAGATAACAAGTATCATTTTATGGGCTTGTAGTTTGACTTAACTGTAATTATATGAAATAGCAGACATAGATTTAATATGCGTCCACTGACCCTTGTGTCCTGCTTTTATTTCCGGCTAAGTTCAGTATAATTAGGAAAACATTTAAATAGCACCGGAAGCATTTTCTAAAGGTTTATTCTAAACTTTCTGGACTGGACTATCAGGAGCTCTTAACTTTACCGTAACGACTTAATTGGCAACAGTTTGGGTTGGCACAGAAGTAATGCTGTATTTTCAATGTCTTCACTTCTTCCATAGATCATTCCGTTAACTCGTCCACTGCTGTAGAATACTATGAAGCTCAAAAACCTACCAAAACGATGATGTGATATGTACGATGCGGGCTTCCCAAAAGAGTTCTACCGAAGATGCTATGCTAAAAATTGCCTCTCAGATTTAAATAATGGAATCCACTCGACGTTGCGAATTGGTCGAGTGTTTGCATTGACCCACTTCTCTCAAATGTCCTCGGCGTACGTGAAACAAACATTTGACGCTGTCATCGCAGCTTTTTTCGACGGGGGAAAAATTGTGGGACAGAACAAACATTGACCACGCTATTTTTCCTTAGCCCATACTTATGCCGTATGTTGAGCCCCAGATGATGAAAATTATCTAGAAAATTATTATAATAGCTGTAAGCGAATTAGGCGTAAGGCGTAGGCAAAAAGGTTACGATTGGGAAGTAATAAACAAGAACGAACACACACCAACCTATTGTATAGCAAAACGCTCCTCTTTGCCGAAGCCAATTGTATGACGTCTAGTGTATCAATGCTCTGGTTTATATATTTAGTGACATATTTAGAATATATTGAAGATTTATATAGTCACTGTGTTGTACTACCGTTATACCGGGAGCTTCGTTTCGTGCAGAGGCTATCCGACTAAAGCAAATCTCTTGAAAGATGTATTACTTTCATTGTACAAATCACAGCCTTTCTATAGTGCATCATGTATGCTACAAAGATCTTTCTATCTATCTATATCTATCTCTATCTCTATCTACGCTATATCTGAAAACAGTGCTGTAAATAAACGGACTCTGCAATCAAGCTTTGTAATGTTTTGAAATACCGACCTTATAAGAACGTCCATCAATAAAAAAGAGATCAATATTAGTAGATATCGGTATATGAAATGGCGAATTATCAAGCATTTATACCGACAGTGGATGACGCTTATTCGGCTGTCCGATCTACCTGAATATCTAACGCTAGCTACAGAATGATTGTAGCTCTTAGATCTCTTGCAAGCCGTACTCTTGGAATAACTACATTTTAAATGCATTTATCAGGCGTTTTGTCACTTCAGTAGCGGGTGTAGTACCTACCGTCCGCTGAAATAATGAGCGATAGCCTTTACTGTCTGAGAGACCACGTAATTTCAAGTTACGGCGCAAAGCCTATGCTATCAATTCCCTAGACCCTGGTCGAATCGACTAGATTTCAACTAGAAAGTTGGCATTTGCGTGGCTAAAACTAACTAATTGACTACAGTCTTCAGTAGACTAATGCCATGGACAGCAAGGGTGCAGGGATGCTAAGCTAAATCATGCGATAAGACACACACGTACACGCTATATGTGAAATAAAAACGCCTGGAAAGATTCAATGAGGGTGTGTAAGGAATTAACTGAGAGGAAATCAGACAGCTTCTTATACAGAGCCACCTAGTGATCTGCGAGGGAACCCACCAAATTAACATTCAGTAGCGATTAAAGCCACTGATAGATCTCACACTAAGTTGATTAATTTATCAACATGTATGGGTATCATTTTTCGTCGCATGCACAGACGTTATCACCAGGGTCCTCGGATTTAAAACTAACCAAATTTGTATATCAAATACTTAGTCCAGTACTGCAAAATAAAACTATGGCCGTTTCCTTTTAGTCACTTCGTCCCTATACAGGTAACCTTTATTTGAGGTGACCATCGGATCGAGAAACCTATGACGCTTTCTTCTGCGTTCACATACATTATACGCTCGCATTTTTCTCAACATATCGATTAACACTTACGACACCGTGAGCACCATCCAAACCGACTGAGGCAGAGCTGTTGTCTTGGTGCGATGTTTGTTGCTGTTGTTGGGTTTGTTGATGTTGGGCTTGGGGTGGAGGCGGACCTGAAGGGCCTGAAGTGGAACTGGAGCTTGAGCCGAGCGGCGCTGCCGCTCCAAAGAGCTCCCCAAGGGAGCCCCCGGGCGAATAGCCGTACGGGGACGCCGAGCCTGACATAGTCGATCAACAGGGTAGAACTAGCTGATGAAATTTGGAGCAACGTCGAAACCACTAAACCACAGTAATGATTACAAATGGTTCGGCAAATTCAGTAAAATGACACGGTGAATTTCTACGTTCTCCGCCCGTTTCAATGTAAGCGACACCGGCTCAACCCAAGCTCCTCAGGCTCAGCTTTTAGCACGTTGAAATACTGCTGTCGTGCAGTGCACGTGTCGGGAAGAAACGATATTTCGAAGTTAACAGATATCGAAGTTACTAGTTGGTACTTGCTTCTTGATTTCCCTCGACTCTGTACGATGTATTAGGTGAAGTGTCGAGACCTTCGAGCGATTTCACTGATTACTTGTTTTCTTCTTTCACCTAATCAAGCGGGATCCCTTGCTGAATACTTCCTAAAAGCATGTCACCTCGAGAGAGAAGCGCATAGTGCTACAATGCAGCGCGTCAATTCGCCATTAACGTCACTGGTTTTCAATAAAGTAATTTTCCGGTCATTTGACGTTGATGTCTACCTAAGCGGCTTCCGCTTCCTTACTGCTTGAATGCCCCGTCTTCAGCGTGCGATATATTCTGTGACGAGAATTAAACACCTTTATAAATCTCCTTCCTTGTTGCTGTTGTTATTGTCGTAGAATTAACACAGTGCTAACAGTTGTTGACGGATTAAATCTATGATGAAGCACGCATCTACATCTCGTTTACCGGCGAGGTTCATACAGAAACAAAAAATTAGTAGATAATAATATGAACTAAATTTAGCTTAAACTCAAAATGTGGATAACAACTCCCGTCGACAATCATGACACAAAGCTACGCTTTTTCGACAAACGGCTCACATTTTTGAACGGACAAACCAGCTCTAGCAGCTCTCCGAAGTCCAACGGTGTGGAAGTGACTACAAGAAAGGCTACCCTCAGGCGAGCTGTCAAAGACACACATCGCGCATTTCAGACCCTTGAGGAGACTCCACCCAGAGCGAGCTCAGGGTCCGCCCAGGAGCCTCGATCAAAGCGCCGCCCACAAAGTGCTTCGCTGATTTTACCATTGCTCGCAGCAGAGAAACGAAGAGTGGGACCACATTGGGAGAATCGAAATGTGGGTATGCCCCGATGTAACAAGAGACGAAAGTATAGGTTAATGTTAGGCCTACTTTCGGTACCACGAAGCTGTGTTAAGAGAAGAAAAACATACAGTAGATAGCCAATCCATTAGGATCGCACAGCGTTTGCATTTGTTGATCTTTTACGCCCGTATCTTACGTAAAAAGGTTACTCGATTCTAGGCCCTGTCGCAACAATGCAAGGTCATTCACTTTAATTTCATTTTTGAAAAACTCTTCTTCACTCAGCAGTAGCATTGTTCCTTAATAAAACTAAATAACTATATAAGTTCGACGCGGTTTTGAGCAAGAAATAAGTTGCATGCTCAAGTTTAATTTACTTCTAAGATTCTGGATTTCGGAGTTATCTTTTTATATTCGAAAATCGCTTATTTCAATAAACCCCTTATATTCAGCCGTAATTCTGTCGCACGAATTTAAAATCGATATTTCCATCGAATTGTTTGATATTTTTCGCGTTTTACGACTGCGTTGGGCCACTATCATATGTAAACTAACATGAGGACTGTTATCGCGAGTGCACTTCACAGCTTTTCCACGTACTTCAGACGAGGACGATGCATTTCCAAATATTTATAATTTCCGCTTAGTTTAAAACTCTCTTTTTAATAAAAGAAAAAAAGCTTATCTTTCGATTTTGATATCGAACTCTTGACTTTTAAAGTTTACCTTGTAGACGAAATCCTACTTCTGCTAACCAATTGTATCTCCTTTTTCTACCTTTGAAGGTTATAAAATTGAATCGAATCGGTTACCACCATGATACGGTTTATGGTCTAGCGGAAACAGGTATGCCACAATGTTTTTCTCTGAAAAAAAGACAATAATAATAATACAAATAATAAGAACAAGTTTTGAAAGGACAACCACATGACGTTTTCCGTCGACGTTAGATCTTACCAGACCTGCCTCGGACGCTTCAGCAGAACAGCTAGAGACTAACATTGTCACCTACTTTTACGTGAAGGTATTTATGTATTGTGCTCAAAATATTCACCTTCGGCCCCCGGGCTCTACGGTCCCATAGCAGCGTACGAGACCAACAGCAACCTATTACCTTCGATCATCTAAAATATCGGGTTCCTCCGTACTGCCAGTCAGTATTAACAAATTAAATTCTGCACATTCAGTTACCACCCAATCGCACCCAAATATTCTAGAAGTTCGCAAACCTAAAGCAGAACAAAATGCACAATTCCTCATAAAAACACTACAGTCAAACGAAGCACGCTTTAGTAATTAAGGCTAGTTCGATTAAAAGATACTATCCATTGATTGTTAACAACTGCATAATTTTGGACGAGTTGAGCTAAGGTGAAGTTCAACTTCAACGTCTCGTGTGAACCAATTGAGAATAAGGCCACTGAGTCCTGTCTTTGTTCAAAAATTAATAAAGGGCGCACGTTGTCTGAAACGGCTTCAATATATACTTACCTAGCGACCTCGTAAACGATTTGTTTCCATGCAAATATGCTTCAGCTTATGGTTTTCACGCGAGACAACCATATCTACGGCGACTATATCGGCGGCTTAAATCTCCGTAGATGATATTTAACGTGTTGCATATGTAGTCTTCATTCTCGCTAATTAGCGACTATTTCAACTACTTGCTTCAACGGTAAAGTAACTTACGCAGCCTAACTAAGAAAATCTACAAAAAAAATTGCCATGAGAGAAGATCCTAGCAAATGCTTGACCGAAATGACCGAAAAGATGGTCGTAAAAGATAAATTGGTGATTATTTGCACATAGATTGCTACAACCTTTTTAGTACGCACCACTAACTTGAACGAAAACCCTATCATTAAAACCTTCTAAAAATGTTTCAAATTCCGCGCCATTTTAGTTGTGCCATTAAACATTACCCCTCCAGTACTTTTACTATTGGTCGAGAGATATAACCGAAAGGACTAAACGCACAGTATAACTAAAAAAGGATTGAGTTTGATGTGATCATTTTAAATGGAAACAACGATTTGAGAACAAACATCTTTCGGGTAAATTGTCTTCGCACAATATTTCCGTAGATCCTATCGTGATTCCAACGTGAAATACAGAAAACTCTATATAATAATGCACTGACTAAAAGATAACTTCAGCCTTGCACACTAATCACCTTGAAGTTGGGCGCGAGCGTTTATTAGCAAAATCGTTTAAACAACTTTTACACAAACATAGATGTACTACTATTAATCGAGCGGGCTGGAAGTTCTGTTGAAGTTAACAACGGAAAACTAGCCTGCAGTGTATACGTTATACGCACTTGACAAGAGACTCAATACGAGCAACTTTTTTTTCTTGCCAACACTGTTGTACGCTGACTGTATTTATTTAATCATACGATTTGTTCGAAATGAATATTTTACAAATTATAAGTCGGATCACAGAGAAACTTAGCCGACTTTTGATTCCTCCGAGCAGTCGCCTACAACAAACACATGACACACATGAAAAACCAAAAAGAAAACATAACGCATTGTCATCAGTGGATTGTCAAAATAGCGTGTTTTATTTTTGCTTTTCTTACATCGAACAAATACAATCAATTCGTTAATAGTTAAAGTGTCACGTTATTCGTAAAAAATTGCAGTAATACACAATTTCTAGTATAAGGTGAAGTCAGACCAGTTAGTGACTTCTCGTATAGTAACCGTCAAAACGGGGGCACTAAACACTGTAAACTTTTTTCACTATGTGAGCGTGAAAGGGAACCCAAAACTTAAACATTTACAAGTAGGGTCCCTGGATAGAAGGGGACAGTTACATACAAACCTTGGATGAAGTCCTCGTATGCTTGATTGTCGTGGACAAATTATTAAACGGTATTAGTAAAGATTAGTAAACCCACGCATTGCAATCGAACGCACACATATATATATATATATATATATATATATATATATATATATATATAACATTAAAGAGTTAATAGTAACAATTAATTTAGACACTCCATTTGTTCAGTAGGTCAGTATATATATATTTTAAGGGACTGTAAAGTATACAGGTGTACACGTATTTAATATGTTTTTCATGAGCGGCTAAACCAAGAGCAGACCTAGTACATCGAAACGTCTCAAACTAATTCAAAATGAGATTCAGAAAGCCAGTATATGATATGTTGTTTGTATCGGTTAACACGCCGCAAATTAGCACAAGGCTAATGGCGTCGTCTCAGGCAGCTTCGGGAACCACACAAAACGGCTCGAAATTGTGATTTCGTTGACGCGGTGATAATCGTCTCGTCTGCAGTTCATAGATGTCTTAGCAACACTGGTGTTTAGCGTACACGTCAGACAAAACAAGATCCGTTTAATTCACGCATATATACAGATCATTCGAACCTGATGTTATTCTTAAGAAAAACATCGAGCAGCTTGTGGCCTCATTCCACTTCACGCTATGATAGCCTAATATTGGCAACTTTGGCCAAGCTGCAAATATCTTCAATCACCGGAGACATTTCTTTACTAGATGGGCCTGCAGCGACGTACCGATCTAAAATGCTTTAAAATACAATAATTTTGCTGTCGTCCCTCTGTCCCTCTCTCGCACTACCATAGAATATAACACATCTTTCTGCGCCTCTCATAACATTCATCTTCGTGCATTTACAGTTTTTACTAGAAACTGCGTTAGGTGGGATCAAAATCGCACTATTCCTAAACAGATGCGTTATCCCTACACCTTGTTGCCACAACGACACCGTAAAGGTGATCCCAAGGCGTAGTTGTATAGTTTCTGTGTCAGCATTACGAGCGAAATTCTTGCTAATGTTATAATCGTATCGCTTCTTATGGCACCCGCGTAGGACGGTCCTAATGCAAAGGGTGTACCTTTTTGGTTCTAAAACAAATTGACGTTTTGAATTTTTTTTCGATTAATGCTGGGGCATTGGGCCTTGCTTCAGACGACTTCTGTCCTTCCGCAGCGTAAAACGAGGTGCGTCTATGCCCGACTTTGAACTGACCTCTTGCGTTTTTATGTTAGGTAGGCAAACACGTTACCGAACGCCTTGGTTCTAAATGTAAAAAAGAAAATTAGCCTAGGCAGCTGCGCGTTGCGCACTGATGGCAGAGTTAAAAAAAACCACTATCGCATTGTTCTCTCCGCCGGGAACACCAGAATAAGACATTCTCGCTAAGTGAATTGTGATTTATAATGATAATAATTAACAATGGTTCTTTGTTGCAATTCATTGAATTTTCATAACAGCACACCATTACGATATAGTCAGAGCCTAGCTAAATTATAGTCCCCTAAAAGCTGTAAGATACTCTAAAGCACATGTCGCTAATTAATTGCGGTTAAAAACTAATGTAAACTAGATTCAATTAACCATGTATGGATAGAACTTGGTGAGTTCCAGCAAACGTCAACAATTGGATTTTTCACAACCAGTGTTGATCTATAGTGCATTGCCTATTTACACCTAACGTGTTTCTGGCTCGCATCCTCAGACATTACACACATCCAATAAATTGCAAAAAAAATAACTTACATACATAAAGGCCATTTACAAAGGTATGATCATCGATCATTGCGGTAAAAAGCAAGTTTCGAATAACAGAAGACGTGTCGATTCTATGTTGTATGAGCTTTTGCGGACGTTCGACGAAAGAGGTTCGCTCCTCATATAAATACTAATACATATAGGAGCGATGAAGGTTTGAGTATTTTCACACGAAATCAGTAATTGACTATCATCTGCAAACGTGCGAATTATGTCCTACTGTAGTTAGGATACAGCACACCGACGTTTACCTCGACTGCAAACTTTCTTGAGTGCCGACTTCAACGCTGCAGGACTAGGCTTTTCACAAATCTCGTCTGCAGGGTGTCCCTCGTTAGAAAGGGCCTGCAAGACGTAACAAAAACAAAAACCCTGTAACTAGGACAACCTACCGACAATTCGCGTAACACTTGCGGATCATATTCACTAAGAAAGTAGATAAAAAAAAAAAACTCGGTGAAAAACGGTCGGTGTGTTGAAATATAATCGAGCGAAACACAAGAGGCGAATCTTCAATCTTGTGACAAGCGCGATTTTGCAGGAAGAAAAGGCGTCCCTACAAGCATACAGAACTTCTTCGATGGACAATAATCATTTAATAAATATCACAAATTCCCACAGAAAAAGCCGAGTCTCTTGTGTGTGCGTGCTCTAGTACATAGTCTAGTAGATAGATAGCCTTTACAGTTGTAGAAGCGCATTTTTACCTCTTATATCAAATTATCAATTGCGAAAAAATATCAATACGACATATATTGACAACAACTCCTTCGAGAAACCTTATGCTTTACATGCATAACTCATAAACTGAAGGTAAACTACATTTTACATTTGATCAGATTACGTCTTTTACTCACTTGGGCTGTGGTTGTTCCAATGGCAACGGCACGGAATTTCGTAAGGCCCCTTTTGCGCAACTCCTTAACAGCGGCCCGAACGCCCGACGGACTAAAAAAGGCACACACGACGCGTTCCTGCGAAACGCATTATCGAATTCAGTGCCACTCAGCATCGTTATTATGGAACATATGTCTGTGTCGATCTTTCAATGCACTGGCCTGATGTTAACAAATGCGTATTAAAAAAAGTAAGTTAAAGTATGAGGATGTGCCTCTTTATTTACGTATATTACAAAATCAAACCTCATGAACCTCAGGCCATTCTAAATGTAATTTTGGGGCGAACCTTCTGCGTTTTGTAAAACTCAAGCGTGACCATATTGCCACAACAGGACAGCAGTGCAAAATGCATAAGTGCAAAAGGCGCTGTTTCACCCTATATTCTTTTTACGGAACAGTATTTCTGGCTCACTTTTGGTAACACAATGTGGCCTCGGCCAAAAGCAGAGTTACCTTTGCCACTTGCTCAATAGAACGGAGATCAACGCAGTCGGCAGTCTCGTAGGCGCTAATTCTCTCGATTGGAAGACCAGTGAAGTTGTCTGCATCTGCTAGCGAACTGCATGGGTACAAAAGTGGCAGCAGCTTCTTCTTTGAACCTGGAGGAAAAGCAGAATTTTTCTAACCACTATTAAAATAGTCACGCAGTGGCGACACTTCATCATTCTATTACCATGACCAAATAGAAGCGGTTTCAACTTCGTGAGGAATAAAGGCACACGGTTCGGGAGAAATATATGAGTAATATCTGACTGAATATTACATTGATGCAATCTTTTCCTTGAATTTCTCAAATCTAAAAGAACAATTAGAGCACTACTGGAATTTAAAATTTCAAGCTAGATCGTATCTGAAAGGACTCAATAGTCTGCCATACAATTCCGACAATTAGACAACAAACATTAAAAAACTCTTCCAGATGCTTACTTTCATCGACACCTAGTGATTTACGAATCAGGACGGCTAGTGCTTCAGCACTTCCTGTTTCCTCACCCTCGGTAGGCAAATGAAGACTGTCCTTAACCGCGCGTGAAGTCGATGGTCCAACGACAAATACCTAACATATAGAGAACTCAGCATCAAGTTTAACAGGTCTAGGGTTAAGAACACTTAAAAACAATTTTTGTGTAAACTATCGTGAAAGCACATTTTCACTCATACATGGAGTTATCCGACATGAGTATGTAATGTCAAGGCACGTTCTCAAAGCAAAAAAAAACGACTATGATGGGGGAAGTGAAGAACAACGTGTTGCTCAACGACAAGCATTTACTCCAGCTAATATTTTTATATTGCAAGAGCATACCTTTCGTTCATTCCAGTGTTCGTAAATTTTAAAGGACCAAACTTGTTCTACTGCCCGTACACAGCGCGGTGACGAGAAGATGATGCCGGAATATTTATGGGCGGATTTCAGCGCAGTACATAGCTCCTCCTTCAAAAAGTTAATGTAAATATGACGAAATACGCTTTATTAATTAGTAGTTAAAAATCTTCCCATGTTGTCTTCGATCTGGTTTCTGTCTTAGTTCAAACGATTGGTGAATCTCTAATTTGTTTATTAGAAAACGCCGGGTTTTCTTCTGGTCTATTTCTAATCGTACAGAATTCGAACGTGCTATCACCGTATTAAAGCTCTAGCATTAAGGGACAAATTTGACTTATGCACAGCGTAGTATTCTTTAAATTGTGCAAAAGTCGCACCTAGCCATGTCGAAATTACTGCGGCAATCATACTTACTTCAAAACGATACTTCAAGTTGCTCAAAAGAAGCTATCGTATGTCCCATGTACACTTGACTGCCAAATGTTTAAACGGACTTGGATCGCTCACTATACTAATTGCATTACACAGTCACTGACACCCACTTGCATTGCGGCTGCTTGCTATGATACTTGCCTGGTTGATGAAGCTAAATTGCAAGACCGGTATAAGAAAGGTGCGGTAGCCTGCTTCTGTGAGAGTTATCAGGTAGCGATCTTGAGGATCTACCTCATCACCTTTGAAAAGAAGCACTGCTCCGTTGAAGCCACCCATACTGCGCTGCTCTTCGCCTAGCAGTATCTGAGTATCGTGAAAAAATCCTCGACCTGTTAGCAGTGATGCTTTTGGACGAAATAAATAAAGCGATTTCTATGGTTACACATTGCTTTTTATTTGATCGGATAAGAAAGCATAGACGACCCACTCTAGAAATAGGTATGCGATGAAAAACGCAAAGTGAATCTCACTAAACACAAATACTTCATAACTAGTTCCAGAACGTGAGTTTATTTGCCCCGCTAGTCTGTTGTAGCGCCACTGCAGAATCATTTTTTCATAAGCGTGTAGACCACTTGGAGTTCACTGACCTGAACTGAACAAGCTTATTATTGGCACCATAAAAAATACCATGCAAACGAATTCTGATGGAAAATGTGTATCCCAAATGAAACAGCGATACATAAAAAAGATCTCGTCCAGGCCCGTAATTATTTCGTTACTGTCTGGACCAGACTTATCTACACAATCTCTACGGTCAATCATCATACTCACAGATGTCATCTGTCAAAAGGTACTTCTGTTTAAATAATTTTTTTTCGTACACGGCCTTGAAGAGGGCTTTATAAGCACATCTCGACAATGAAATGCAACGGTAGAAAAAGCGTGCAGCGTGCTGTTCGGATTGCTCTAAACTGACAAAGGTACTAAATGCGATGTTATCGATTAGTGCGATTATAATTAAGCGCACAATTTCTTTTAAAAACAATGCCATCCACAATGTACAACCTGACAGGCAACCTCATATCGCAGAAATTACAACATTAGCTGTTATATGTTTTTTTCAGCGTTCTGTTGTCTACAGCATTTCACCATGAACTTATACAACTTCGTAGTAATTTATACTTGAAACGGAGCCAACACCTTATTCTCTTGGAAATAAACAGAATAGATGCAGAAATTTGATTCCCTTCACCTTGTCAAGTCCTGCTAATGCCAATTAACAGCGAGCGCACCTTTCAAGTATAATTCATACCAACGTAGGCATGTCACCTCCGATATGTGGTCGGAACTGTAGGTGCATACAGTTTTCCAATGATCACTGAAAGTCAACAAAAAAAAAAAAAAAACTATCGTTAGTTAGATCACGGTTCACAGCAAGTTTGGAAATAGTGTTCACTTTGAAGCTTTTCGGAGACGTACGATAAAATCGAATGACTACCGTCGCATCAATCGATCCAAATGATTCGATATCTGACTGTTTTGAACTTAATCAGTTGTTCATCGCCTAAGTGAGCTTTTGCAAACACTCACAGGCCCCTGTTACCAAATGGTAGATTTTTCCAAACCCTTGATTACCCTTAATTGGAGGTGAGGTGCTAATTGTACACATACTACAGTTATTGATTAAAGTCAACGTTCTGGCACGCAGCTGTGTGCAAGGTGTTGCTGCCACCTATCGACTAATGACACAAGATAACATTGAAAACGGTATAGTGATTCTATCGATACATTCCAATCTAAGGGGTATCCTATGTGACAGAAATACGTACTGTTTTGTAGCAAGACAGTATTTGTCGGTGTGTCTAATTTATATCGGCACCTGTGCTTTTTGTTCCGTTGTTTACGTTCGGCAATTTAGCCCGGAGCCAGCCAGCCAGCCAGCCAGCTAAACGCTGAACGATTGCGTCCGGAAACCGCTAATCGCTGAACGCGGGGGCACATTTTGAGCGCCTGAACAGTGTAACGGTTCGCAATGCTGCTGTAAAATAATGAGTGACGATTTAATAGGGGAATCGATTTGAAAGCTACCCCTCTTTGTAGCTATGCACAGGTAGCGTTATCACTTGGAAACTGTAAAGATGTACTATAGAATTCACCGTCAACAGTAAACCGTTTTGCACGAGACTCGTTCCTGGTTCAGCTGCTGTTGTGTCTAGCTACGGAAACAGTTGAGTGAGAAATGTCGCGAACTAACAATTCCCATTAGAAGTGAAATTTGTTCAGCCGACGACCGTTTTCCAGTATAGCTGTTGTCACAACTAATATCGACTAGATCAAGCTTTCATTAATCCTATGATGGCGCCGACACAAGTTGTTAGCCGCTTTCAAGCTTTGTACAAAGCCAAAAGTTCGCCATGGAAGGAGGTATTACGCCAACAAAGAATCGAGCGACAAAAGGTGGCCCGAGCTGCACAAGTAGAGGCGCGTCGCCGTGCAGCCATCGAACGAAATGAGTTCGAAGAGGATCTCTTGCGAGAGCAAGAATTGATGCTGGAACAGGTCGAGCAAGAGTTCGCAATGTGCGAAGAAATCCATCTACCCGTTCCCCATGCGTGTCCGGTATGCTACGCACAAATGCACGTACATACGTTCGGCGTGAGGCTGATCTCCTGTGATGCGTGCGGAATAGAAGTAAACATGAGCTGGAAGGAATTTCATGAAGCACTGGAGCAGATTCATGGTATTCACACAGCGACAGGCTGTGTACATCCGGGCGAATTTCTATTTTTCGAAAAGAATCTGTTTCTAGCTTGCGATAATTGTGATTTTATGGACATGGCTTCAATAAAGTAAGCCAGCTAAAAAGATCGAGTACGATGTACATACTGGGAGATAGCTTTAAGGAAGGGTGAAATCAATGGTTGGAAAGGCCCAGTCGTACAGCAAGCCATTGTATATCACCATACTCCATAATAAGGATTTTTTCGCGTTCGTCAGTACTTCACTCTAATGATTCTATTCCGTATTGCATAAATAATTGTGCGTCAGTGCATAGACTGCATATGGACAGTACAGAATTTTACTTGGCTTGCTAGTTAGATGAATAAGTAAGGTGCTAGAAGGGTTTCCTCAGAATGGCAGCTTGTTCCTCTCATGCGATCTTCGATAATAGTCCATTTACAGGTACAATGGAACATTTGTGTTGGGTGAGCGTTACTTATTGGTAGTTGTCCCGCTGATGTTGCAAGTGACACATGCGGTCTAAGAGGGGGCTTTTACTCATGGTGCAGGACGGAGTAAGGATCAACGGATCCGTTAATTGCGCTATTTAAAATATGGCTTGGTTTAAAGACTCACATTAAAAAGGCCTTCGCAATGATCATGATGAACGACCTGTCAAAAGAACTGTATAAATTTTAAGTTGAAGTAATATAAATACAGTCTGTTGTCTGAACAGTCGTTGACTGAATCGTTGTAAATGTGAAGTATAAATAAGTCTCGTATATTTATATGCTGTTGCTTACAAAAGTTTTCTTATGATGTTGGTGAGGGGGGTCTACAAATTGTTGATATGATTATCTTCGGCAGCTGCCCAATCGTATGGTGAGACAATACCTGGTAGACCTACCATTTTGAAGGTCAAGTTGTTTTCGCACTCAAGACGTTATTTTCATGCCTAAAATTCGAATGTAGCCCATTTTATGGGCCGCATAAACGCAGCAATTAATAGACGTATGGCCAGTGTAGGCTTACGAACTGGCCAATGTAGAACATTTTATAAAATGAATAAAGATAGGTCCAATCGTGGACTTATTGCAAGCTTTCATGCGTATTACTTTCATCAATCGCATAATGATTTAGTCTGAGTTATAGACTGACAATATTATGCTCCATTATGTAGCGAATATGTATATGTAATTTATATAGTATATCTAATGAAGACAGTAAATAGCAGTAACTATGATTTAGTCCTCTTCGGCCTTGTCTATATACCTTAAGAACTTTACCATGTAGGCTCAAAATGTGCAACATTTCTACCTAATAACTATACTAGTCCTGGGACTTAATGTTCATAAAACACAAAAATATTACTTTGATCATTTCACTTAAGCATCGTAAGCTTCATCAAATAATTTTCAGCTTAAAAGAATTGTTTAGAAGAACATGCATCTCTTCCTTGGATTAGGAGTTTTGCTATGTATTGTTGATAATGGTTACGCTCAGGATTTTGATTGCACGGTATCAAAATTATCGTTTCCAGTGCATATTTATTGTTATAGGGCTGTGCGTACGGTGGTGTACAACTAATAAAACACCATGCGTCTCATTAAAGTTTCAGATCTAGATATACCCGGTTTATGACATTTTCCCTCTTTATCTTGATATCTTGATTACCCTTCTAGTAAAACGTCGAAACTAAACCCAAAGTACTTACGTCCGATCTTGTATGTTATACCATTTCAACCTACATATCTACATTGTCGCCATTAGCAAAAAAGATTATATGAAGATATACCCATATCAAAAGTCAGGCAGTTCCTCTGTTTTTAGCATTGTTCACAATGTCATGCTGTAGTACATTTACATTTTAATTCCTAATTCAACTCTATTTAGATATGATCGCGGTAGACTTTGTCAAAAAAAAGTGGGAAAGTAAAATAAAAAATAACGCATTAACTGTTCCTGCCATTTGCGTTTCGATTTAGTACTTGAGCCATATAATATAGTTCCATATGAAATCGATATGGCGTTTAATGGTCTTTCTAGGTGATGGCATAGACGTCAGATTGTTAATCAATAGTTATTTTACTAGCCGACCCTCGGCCTAAAGCGCCTCACAGACTTTCAACTGTTCAGTCTCATGGGAGACTACTGTACAATAGCGATAACGCTGACTGGAGTGAGTGTGCGAGAAACACTAAATCCGCTTCGTTTACTGCTATTGGATATTAAGAGCATGTGCTATAATGTAAGCCAATAACACCTTAGTTTCCTTGACTTTGACACTGACTTATTTTCTTGACTGTTTCAAAACAGCTCAACTTCCACTACCCATTCATTGTGCAATTGTGACTCTCTGTGGAACTAGCGCGATGCCTGTAAACATGTACACTATAACTGATACCTTGCCTGTTCCTATTTTATTTTTTATGTTTCACTTATACATATGGCCTTAGCAAGACACAAAACAATCAGTTTACAATACTCACGTTTTCATGCAAAAGACTACACATGAATAGATTATGCAATTCTTCCCTTAGCCAACCCCTGGTCCCTAACGATTTTCCGGCTCCTACGAGTCTTTTTTTACATCACTGAAAGACCTGAAAGCTTCGTGCCACAGAACTCACTCGCCACTACATGAAAGCAAATTCCTTATTTGTTACTATTTTTTATCGGTTTATTAGAAAAAATAACTACAAAAGCTCGTGTCATCACACTGGAGAATTTATTATTATGACCATCATTGTCGTTTTACGGCACAAATACACTTATATGATGATGCATTTGAACTGGTCTTCGCTGACTGGTAGGCAGCTCCATCGGGGCTACACGTTCTATGTATCGTTGTTGCTGGTTTCGATGAAGAATTATTATTATTATGCCGTAGTAACGGTATTAGGAGCTGCTTGCTACAAGATACAGGACACTAATGTTTATACGGACAGGCTAGCTGTAATTGTTGTGGTTTTTAGGCCATTTCAATAAAAATCCGTCCGTGTCAACCTTTTACCGTATCGTTATTTAAACTCGCCAATTGGACCACACTGAGAATTGTTTCAGTTGCACCGCTCGCATGCGTAAATCTGTGTGTGCGTGTTTATGAACGTGTTATCCATGGTTCGGAGATGTTTTCCGTCTACGTATATCTATGCACTGCTATTTTTGTCCTTGCATGCACATATTACCGTTAGCAGAATTTATGCGAGTCATCTTTACGGCTACTGTTTCGGCTTAGATTCACTATACCTGCCCATCTACATTCGCTAACCTAAATTACCTTAATAATAATAATAATAAAAAAGAGTATTAATCGTTGTGTATA